TATGGTTTTCTACTCAAAACCCAAAATAGAAATTTTGGGGTGTGACATTCTGCCATGTCACTGATTCCTGGGAAAGTGAGAAAACACACCTTGGAGCATTGCCACGTGTTGATCCATTGTTGGTTTGATCCAAGGGCCTCGGTGGAGCTTCTCTTGGATTGGTGGCCCGCTGTCATACACCAAAAGAGCCCAACCAACGTTGCAACCGCCTTAGGACAAGATCAACCACCATCAGGGAGCTCTCCATCGCTGTTTAATGGAGAGACGGTGGATGCTGGGGCCAGGCGCCGCTGCCTAGCTAGGGTTGGTGATGCCTCCTCCTCCACCAACCACTCACTCCTACAAGTACCCCCATGGCTCCTAAACACTATATAAAGAGGTGCTGAGCTACAGGGAAGGCATCACTATCAAGAAGCAACACTCTCCACTAAAGATCAAGCTCATCCTTGAGCTCTAGTGTAGTAACTAGGCTAGTGCTGGGAATAGAGTTAGAGTGGAGCTCTGCTCGGAGTCTAGAAGACTCTTTCTGGGTCTGATATAGCTCTTGTACTTTCCTCTTGTGTACCTTTCCTATTTGTATACTTACCTTATTTGGGATAAACCTGTTCTCTCCTAACTACCACCGCCGCCACCCTCTCCTAACAAACCTGCTCCGTCCCCCCTCCTCTCTCCTAACCGGCGGTCGCGTTGGTGAACGGAGGAGCGGGGACCCGATCCCTTTTCCCTTCGTAGTTTTAGATTAGGTTTGTGGATCCTTGTTGATCTAGGGTTTGGTTTTGGTGTCATTGACAAGGTGATGGCGACGATGATACTTTGGAATAAGGTCTCTCCCTCCCTCGACGACGTTTGATCTGGTATCAGTGAAGTACTAGTGAGGGTTTGGTATGTCAAATATGTTGATATTCTTCAAATGTTCGCAGTTGGTGTGCTTATCAGAGGAAGCAGTTGGTTGCTTTCGATACAACGATCGGTGGCGACGATGATACCTGGGAATAAGGTCTCTCCGGTCTCTCCCTACCTCGACAACGTTCGATCTGGCATTGGTGAAGGACTAGTGAAAGTTTGGTCTATCAGATCTGTTGATCTTCTTCAGATCTTGGCAGTTGGTATGCTTATCAAAGGAAGGAGTTGGTTGCCTTTCGATGCGGCGATCTCAACCTCTTCTTTTGGTCTGTTCTACCGCAAGGTTCGAAAGTTTCAACACTCTGTTTTGATGGTGAAGGATTGTAATTGTAAGCCTGTGTTCCTTGGAGGATTCCTCCAGTCGATGTACTTTCAGTGGATACTAGATCTCGTTGTTAGCCTCGAGTGGGTTTTGTGGTCTTCGAAGCCATGTTTGGCGAGGGTGTTTGCAGGTGGCCTTTTTCTTTGTTGTCTTTGCGGTGCTATTTTCAAGCTCCGATAGGTCGTGGACGTCCGAAAGAAGAAGACCAATTTACTATTATATTTAGAGGTCGTTTTGTGTCTTTTTGTCAATCGTTTGTACTAGCCTTTGTTTTTCTTGAGATATATTAGATGTGAAACACTCTTTCGAGTGTTTTTATAAAAAAAAATAATGACCATTTAGTTTAGTCTTTTTTTTTAAATCTCTTTGTTGCTATTTTTTAAATATCTCTTAGTAATAATGACCGCCTAGTTGCAAATTCTCTTGCTATGTTAACCAGACAAAATTATTGGTCGTTTTGTTATTGAGTAGTCCATAACCTTCCCATCCCCCGAAATCTAGTGGTCCATCAGGATTGGTTGTAAGCGCAACTTCTTGCCCAAAACTCTCATGTTCTTATTAATATATACCAGTTCTTAACCTGATCTTTTAGGCCTCGTTCGTTTCGGCATGGAATGGCCCGGAACGCGGCCTGTTCCGCCCGTATCGGCATGGCCCGGTTCAAAGTTAGGTCGGACATGGAATGGCCGTTCGGTCGGATACGGCCCGGAATTAAAATGGATCAATCCGGGCCTTTCTTCCCCTCGTTGGCCCGGAATGGAGACGGACCCTCGTATGTCCGTAACCTATCCTGGCAACGCGAGTGGAGGCGACGGCGCGAAGTGAGGCGACGACGCGGTACAAGGCGACGGCGACCGCTTCCCATCCAACGTCCACACTCTCCGCCGCCTTCTCGCCGGTAACGCGTTGCCCATGTTTTCCTTGCCATCTTCTCTCCCTCGGGCGCTAGGGTTCTTTCTTGTCGTCGCTCGATCCGTTGCCTGCGTTTCTTGAGGAACGCCGGGAGGTGGCCCAGGAGCGGGTGTGCGGTGAGGCCGTGGGTGGTGGGCTTCTTCTTCTTCTTGGTCGTCAGGTTGTAGGAGATGTAGAGGAGAGGTTAAAAAAAAGGAGATGTAGAGGAGGGGGAGCAGGACGAGCAGGGAGAGTGTGCTGGCTTGCAGCTCGGAGTAGGTGGAACCCATTGCATTGCCGTTGACTCTGTAGCTTTTGCTGATGACATTTGATGGAGGAGTGGAGAGGAGTTATATACACTGTGTCTGCAGCATATTGGTCTGCAGTGAGGGAAGTTCCAGTGTCGAACTAAGGATAAGAAATGTTTCAGTCCATGTTTGGGACTTTCAGTGTCTTTAATTGAACTCAAAGTTCATGTTTCCATCAGCAGTGCACTTTCAGTGCCTGAGAGAATCCCATGCCGCTATATAGCTCGGAGCTGTGAGGTCCTTGAGTTTTGGACTTTGAGTGCAAGGTTACCAGGAAGAATAAAAAAGGCAAAACATTTGAGTTTCTTTACCTGCAGTCTGAAAGTGATGCGTACATGGGAATCCATGATATTGTGGTTTATTTTGTTTCTCTGAAACTTAGAATTGTACAGTACAGTACACATGCATTCTCTTCTACTTTCCAATAAATGCTCCTCATTCAAATGATCAGATCAAATGAAGTCAAGCAAAGCCATTTGTTAAAGACTAGCTCTGTATTCTGACAGTCAAAGACTAGCTCTGTATTAAACAAGTTGCTAAAACCGCTTTAGTTTTGTGCAGAAGTACTTGAGATTTCTAAGCTATCGCCTTCAAATTCCCATATGTTCATGCACCACCACTCACACCAAGGATCTAATGCTACAACAAGTGGTACTAAAAAGAAGGCGTCTCCTAACTGCAGTAGGGCAAAGAAGACCGGAGGTTCTCCGAGAGCTTGTAAATTTTGTAGTATTTCTCTGCTGTTGTTGTCTGTCTGTCCACACATTTAGTGCAGTGTGTATCATAAATCTCATTGATCCGTGATATATCCCCCACCTTTTATATTTCATTTGGCCCTGTTGGCTAATTTGGAAAGGTTGACAAGAACCATACTCAGTTTTATTGTGATTCACCAAATATTATTGAGCCTACACCCAACTAGTTCAAGGAGTATAACTGCAGTCTGCTAGTAGTAGGTTTGTAATGATGTGGCAATGTCAAACTTAAATGCTACTAAATAATAAAAGGTCATTGGGCTGTTTTCAATGCCTTTTTTTAACAATCGTTATATAACTGAATTAGATAGCCAAGAGTGGCACACCTGTGCTGTTTTCTTATCAGTGATATGCTGGGAAGCAAAAGATGTCCTCTAGAGATTCTGTCATTGACAATTAACTACTTATCGTACCAATTGTGATGTCTGCTATGTGATTTCTCCTTGTGGTTGTATTCTTGTGTAGTGAGTGAGATTCATAAGATACTAAAGATAGTTCTTTGCACCACACCATTTCATCCAGCCATATGCCCTTTTTTTCTGAATACTATGTGCAGTAGTAAAACAAAGAGCGGACTGGAATCCGGCCCTTGAGAAGTCACTTCTAAGTATTGTAAGATACATCTATTAATAGGCCTTGGCTGCCATCCTTGTATAATAAGGCTATGGCTTTTACTCTATTCATATATAGAATCTAATGCCTTATTAACTATGCCTCATATACTTCTCAGTACTGATCTAGTCACTTCTAAGTAAATAGATTGAAGAGCTCCTGAAGATTCAGTTTCAGTAAACCAACTGCAGAGTTCAGTTTTTTGTTCAGTTTTTTATTCTTTGGTTCAGTTTTTGAGCAACTGCAAATGACTACTTTGGTTCAGTTTTTGTGCGGCCTGAAATGTTCATTTTATAACCTATAGCCTTATATCCTTGATCTTCTCTTGTGTAATTGCAGGGTTTCAAGGTTAAGTTCAAGGCTGATTCTGCAACTCAGTGTCCTTACTGGAAGGTCTTTCGGTTTGCACTATCCAAGTGCCATTGTAATGTGTTGGAGACCTTTTCTGTGGTTTTTTTTGTTATTTATTAGAGTTTCTTGTACTGTCCAAAAAGTGCACCATAACAAGTTCAAGTTCTCACATTCCATACTCTGCAACTTCTCACATTGAGGCCTTGTACTGTCCAAGTTCTAATGTGTCTGAGTATGCAACAGCAGTGTATGTGTGCTAATTGACATGATAGCGCTGCAGGTTGCCATGGTTTTAATTTCTACCTCTGCAACTGCAAGTTCCCATTGCCACACTCTTGATTTCTTGTGTCCTCACTGATGCATTTGTGTGAATCTGAGCTAATAACAATTTGCTACATTTGTGCAAATGTGACTTGAAGCATGGAGGTATCCCCTGGATTGGTTCCCATCCAAAACCGAACACAAGGAAGGGAATACGTAAAGAAAGGGATTTAATCCGCAAGGGGTTTGAGTGACATGGACGGATTCACTCAATCCTTCCCTGGATTGGTTCCCCTGGTGGATTAAATACTTGCCAACCGAACGTGGCCTTAGGGGAAAAAATCTCAGTTGAAAGCCAATAATCGTGTGAGTGTTTGTTCGGAAACAGGAAGATAAGAGGAATCACGTTTCAACTTTTAAATTATTCTGCTTTTGTTGACATAAATCACAACGCACATCGATCATATTTACAGTAGTTGCATTGCCACTTGACACTTGTCACACACTCACACATGCTGCTTCTCTCACTTTGCGCATATATAACAACAAATTAAATAGCATTGCCACGGCGGGCGGTCAATACAATCGATGATTAAATCATGTGGTGAGGATGGGCGGGAGGATGTCGGACTTGTTGCCGAGCACCTTGGCGTCGGTGTCCGGGAAGGATTCCGTCGTCGCCACGACGCTGCCGTCGTCGAGCACGCTGACCGGGTACGCCATGAGGTGGCCCGGGAGGTCGCCCTGGAACGTGTCGCTCGCGAACATGTCCCAGTGCTGCTTCGCCACCTGGTTCATCCGGCGCACGCAGGCCAGGCTCGACGGATGGAGGAGATCGCCGCCCACTGCCGCCGCCGCCTGGCCCAGGTGCTCCTGCCACAGGGAGACCCGGAAGCCATGGACCTGGCCCCTCGCCGGCCGGTTCCTGGTCGCCAGGTAGCCCGGCTGGTACGCGCCCATCGCGATCTCGGTGTCGCGGCCGCCGTCCATGGAGCGCTGGTTGATGTTCGCCGATCCCACGATGATGTACTCGTCATCCACTGCATGCAAACGACCACCAGTCAGACCGAAACCATCAAGATCATATTGTTTGTTTTGTAATTCTAGACTAGATGAATCTGTAGGCATAGAATAAGTCACTGTACCTATCATGGTCTTGGCGTGGACGTAGATCATGAAGCGCCTGGCCTGCTGCGCCCTCTCGTAGTCGGTGTTGGGGTCCGGGTGCTCCGGGGGCACGTACTCGCCGGGGCTTGGCGCCTCGCGGTTGCCGAGGCAGAAGAAGGTGAGGTAGTCCCTGGGGTCGGCCTGGAGCCCCTTGGCGCGAATGGCCAGCGTGACGTCCCTGTACATCATCTCCATGGTGCGGCGCTGCCAGTCCAGGATGGCCTGCACGGAGCCGCTCTCCGGCACGCCCTCCGGCCACAGGGGCACCACCACGTAGACGGCGAACCGCTCGCCGGCCTCAATCTGGCTGACGATCTTGAGCGACAGCTCCTTGGGGATGAGGTGCAGCGCGTTGATGTCCTCCACCGTCACGCCGTCGTTCTGCCGCCATGCGTAGGAGCTCCCCAGGAAGTACTGGTTCTCGATGTAGATGAAGTCCCGCGCCCGCCGGATGGCGTTGATGTACGCGTCCTGGATGCTGCGCTCGATCACGTGGTCCTTGCCGCTCACCAGCCCCAGCGCCGCCGCCTCCCGGGGCGCGTCCGCGGAGCCCTCCGGGAACCCCGCCGCCGCGCCGCCGTCGATGGACCGGAACACCTGCACGTTCCAAGACTCGGCGTCGCCCTGCGGGGCTGCCTCGCGCTCCGCCCACGCCTTGTTCAGAGCCACCAGCATGTTGTCGCCCTTGCCCTGCTTCTTCCACCTCTGCTCGAAGTTCTCCAGCACGTCCCACGCGGCGGGCCCCTCGACGCGGCAGTGGATGTCGTGCCACGGCTCCCTCGGCCCGCCCTTGCTAATGGACGCACCGGGGAAGTTGGGCTGGTGGAAGTCCTTGTTGTGCGTGGTGCCGAGCGTGCGGAACAGCGGGTGATCCTGCGTGTCGTACCTCCCGTCGCACAGGTCGATGCCGCCGAGGAAGCTCACGAGGCCCGGCGGCGAATCCGGCGCCGTCCTGCCGCCGCCGTCGACGATCACCGTCTTCTGATGGTGCGTGAACATGGTGGCCGTCTCGATGTCCTGCACGTAGCTCCGGTCCTTGTCGGGGTTCCGCGGGCACAGCACGCACTGCACGCGCGTGTCGCGGAAGTAGCTCGCCGTGTCCTGGTCGTGCGTGGCCATCAGCCCGTCGCGCTTGATGGGGCCGAGCCCCACCGAGGTGCGGTCGTCCCACACCAGCATCAGCACCGTGACGCCCTCGTTCGCCTTCCGGATGAGCAGCTGGCCGAGATTCTCGGACGACGCCGACGGCTCCTGCGGGTCGCGCACCAGCACGACGTCCGTGTTCACGGACCACCCGGCGATGTACACCATCCTCCGGGCCCTGTTGATCGCGTCGAACACGTCCACCCAGCACCGGCGCGGCTCGTAGAAGCTGCCGTTCGCAAGCCGGATGCGCGGCGCGAAGTCGCCGGCAACGTGCGCGTCCTCGTACAGCCGCACCCGGCAGCCGCGGCGCTGCTTGAAGAAGGTGTAGGGCACGCCGCCGTACGCCGCGCTGCCGACCCCGGTGCCCCAGCCGGCGGTCGGGTCGGCGGCGACGTTGGTGAACTGGAGCTGGACGCGTATCTGGTCACCGCCTTCCAGCGGCTGGCGCTTCTCGTCGCGGATGGGGAGCCACAGGTCCACCTTCTGCCCGGCGACGACGCCCTCCGTGGGCAGGTAGGCGCGGCCGATGAGCGTGGCGCCGATGGCGTTGTCGGCCTTGACGGTGAAGATGATGTTGCTGGCGTCGTGTGCGCAGTAGATGTGGAAGGACTCGTCCCACTTGGGGGAGTGGACGGGGGGCACCATGCGCGTCCGCCCCACGCGCGCCTTGTCGATGTCCACCGTCGCGTACAGCTTGCCATCCGTGCCCAGGCCGATGGCATTCTCCAGCTGTTGCTGCGCCCAAAACGCATGCATCCGGATCATGTACCGATGATCCCAAGGATGGCAGGTGTACTAAGTACCATAAATAAAGAATCGAGGATGAGGAAAACCTGGCCTTTGCAGAAGGTCAGCTTCCTGATCCATGAGAACACCTTCTTCTTCATCAAGGTCTGATTGCAGACAAGTTCAATGTTTCATCAGGTATATATGAATAAAATGATAGACTGACAATGAAACATTGATGGGACGCTAGTAGATCCAACATTAAAAACAATGCTATATTCCAGGCGCCCGAAATTTTATTAATTTTCAGGCAATGGTTGTAACATTAGAAATCAACATCTGCAATGTTAGAGAACAACGTCTGTAGCATGTTCACAGCAGGTCTAGTTCCGGAGCAGAAAATCTCGCCGCAACATCAGTGTTATGTAGCATGTTGCATTGTTTTGCAACATTGGATAACAACATCTGCAACATCGATAACAGCTGCTGCAACATTAAATATGTTGCCGAAACAATCAAAATTTTCAGGCACCTATTATAACACCGCTTTTCTAATATATAACTTTTGCAAAAATACCTATGTTTTGTTTTATTACGAAACTACTCCATCTTCAGGTTATGAGGAAACTATAGCCCCTTTGGCACGGCTCATCCAAAACGGCTTCACCGGTGAAGCCAGAAAAACTGGCTTTTTCCGGCCTCTAGTTCATTTTAACCCCGGCTTAATAAACGGCTTCACGCTACAGTGCCTCGATTTGCGCAAAATAGATGAAGCCGAAGCCGGCATAAGCCGTGCCAAAGAGGCCCTATATTTGTTTTGCGTTGGCATATTTAAGCCTGTGTATCACAAATTAATTTGGGTTCAACGTATCACAAAATTTGTGATGCATACAATTGACATTGCTGCAGTTCTATGATACGATGGCTAAAATTTTAGTTTCCTCAAAGTGGCCGTAGTAGTTTTGCAAAAGTTATTCGTGTACAAGGAAGGCCGAAAGTGCGTAGGCTCTCCGTCGGCCCAACCCAACAAGAATCAGCTGCCAGCAGGGTCATTCATTAAAACCAAAAGAGAAATCGTTATGACGAGCAGCAGGACTAAGGATTTATCTTTTAAAATTTACATCTTTATTTATATCTATCTATCTGTCTATTTATCTATCCATATCTATATGTATATTATATGTATTTATATATCTATATCTGCTCGGTATATCTATATTTATATCTATAACATAATAAAATATTAAGGAGCAAAAAATTTCTCTTTCGCCTCTTCTAGAAACCCACCTGGGTCCATCCTTCACATGTCAATAATCATAACTCCAATTTGATACGACAACCCTGCCTTTACACCATCGGTGTCAAGTATGTGATTCGGAGTCAAGATTTATCCATGCTCATACGACTTAGAAAACTCGTGTCCGATAATAGTACGAAGCTCGGTTACGGCGCACGGCGCACGAACATGTTTACTATGCTAGTAAAAAAATGGAAAAAAAAGTTTTTTTCTTCTGATCCTTGTGATTTGCTCTCCAAATTAGATCAGTCTAGATAGGGAGTTCCAGTCACTATTAGTGTCGATGGGTAAGTGAGGCTTTGCTCTCTCTCTCTCTCAAGAGTCAAGAAACAACATGTAGTACAACAGAGCAGAGCATATACTATATATACGTACCTTCTTGCTCGGCTGCAGCTGACCGTCTGTGGTGACGGACAGGTCGGCCTCCAGGATCCTGGCCTCGATCACCCCGTGCAGCAGCAGCTGCGTCGTCTGTGGCTGTGCCATCACCATGCCGTTCGTTCGTTCGGGGGCTTCTTCCATCGATCTCCGACCCGATCCTCTTCCGCCGCCTAGCCTGCCCCTGGCCTCTGTGCGTGCTAAGCTAGCTTCTTGTGGAGAGCGATGAGGCCAACTCAAGGTATGCGCGCAGTATATATACTGACGCCCCTCCAGCACGACACAGCCGCGGCCCCAAGAAAGCACGCTATCTGCGGTCTGCGGCAAGCTGCAAGGATCTATCTTTATATCCATGGACATGAGAGGAAAGCGCCGAGGAGAAGAGAACAGGGTGCTGTGGCCTGTGGGTCAGTCACTTGGCGCTACCTTTCCCTCCTTCCTTGCTTCAGCAACAATCCGAGAATAGTAGAGAGAGCCAAACAAGACAAGAGGGCTGCTCCTGGAGGAGTATCGCAGCAAGGGATCGGATCATGACTACGAGCACGCACACGGAGAGAGAGAGAGAGAGAGAGAGAGAGAGAGCAGCCCAGGAGAAGTAAAGGACAAGTCCCGCCGATACTGGGTTTCCCACCGGGGTTTCGCGAGATGCGTCGTCGACGCGCTTGCTTTCTTCTCCCTGGGTGCCTCGGAAGTCTTCGTCAGAATTGAGAAGAAAAGCACCTGTCTAGATTAACGATCCCTAGATGACCCAAGGCGCAGAGAGGCGTGCTATGACCAATCGCGCAGCTCGTACAGGGTGACAGGTCATGCATGTGTGTTGGCTCTTTAACTCTCTGGCCTCTGGGAGTAGCAAAGTCGTGCTTGGTCCTTAGCACGCAGGAGGCAGCAGGACACGGGATTTGACCGAGACCGCTGAGTGCTAGTTTCCAGAAAAGATGCAAAAGAAACTAAGCACCGTTGTTTATCGGCCGCGTTCGCTTCGTTGAAAACAAAGCCGAAACACTATTCCGGCTAATTTATTGTGAGAGAAAAACACTGTTTCAACTAAAAACGAGCTAAAAAAGACGGATTATAAGAGAAGCAAACAGTGCCGTTCATGCTAACGATCGCCTATAGCTCTGTTCCGGGTCATGCTCCCGGCTCCACCGCTCTGCATCGCTTCTCTTCTCTCTCTCTCTCTCTCTCTCTCTTTTGAGTACAAAGAGGAAAACATTGGGTTGATGTAATTATGAACAATTATATGCTCGACACACACCCCATAGCGATTACGGAGTACATCATACTGCACTATATATGGTGTACCCACTTGGCGAGCTCATGGGCTACAATCCCTACAATCGATGAATGGTGTAGGTGCTGCATGGGCGAGCTCATTTTGCCCCGAAAGGGTTTTTTTTTTTGCTTTACCTTTCTGTCTGTCCCCACCTGTTGCCGGGTGGAACCCCTCATCCAAAAAAAAAAACACTGCTGCCGGGTGGTGAATAGTGCATCCCAGAAATTTGTCAGGAACTTCATCAAGCCTATACGTACAATCGATGCAGTTCTAGTGGAGTCTCCAATGACAAGCACAAGGCAATCTGGACCTGAATAGTGTAGGTGCTCTTCAGGGGGTAGCAGCCAGTACTGTCTCATCACTTGCCTTAGGCTGACAGCATGATCACACTGGTTATATAACCGCATGGGACGAATCCTCAGGTTCGTCCTTCCCACACACATCACATAAGGAGTTGCTATCATATAACAAGAGAAGGTTGCAACGATGCGAGCACTGCTTTTTTCTGGAAAAAGAAAGGAGGTTGCAACACTTACAATATATAATTACTACGGAAAGGGTACATTCTAGCCCTCCCCAATCTCAATTTTTGGAGTTCCATGCTCAGGCTTGAATAGCAGAGGGTACTTGCTAGAGTAATTATATATACTGATACCCCTAAAACTTTAGATGAAGAACAGAAAAGATCTACCTGTCTTACTCCCCACCAGGTGACCTACTCCTCTTGTGTAATGGGGGAGGATGAAACCTTGGGATGAGGAGGAGCTTCTCTTTCCGACGCACTGCCAACCCGAACACCTCGGTCATATCAACATTATGCACACCTTCAGGCAGCTCCCAGTCAAAGTGATATACAAGGTTTGCCAACATGATCTCAACCAAAGCCAATGCAAAGTTTACCCCAGGGCATATCCTCCGCCCTGACCCAAATGGCAAAAACTGGAAGTCGTTTCCTCTGAAGTCCGCACCAGTTATGTCTCCCTTACTGTCTATGAACCTCTCTGGCATGAACTCTTCTGGGGCATTCCACATCTTCGGGTCACGCCCAATTGCCCAGGCGTTGATGAATACAGTTGTGCCAGCAGGAAACATGTAGTTGTCCACATCACAATCCTCCAGGGAGATGTGGAACAAGGAGCGGCGATGGCTGATGGAGGCGGAGTGTCTCTTTGATGACTGCCATTAGATAGGTCATCCCAGCTAGATTTCCCTCATTGATTGTTTCCTGGCCGTCCAGCATTGTCTTCCTCACCTCGGCTTGTAGCTTGGCCAAAGCATCTTGATGCAGCATGAGCTCAGCCATGGCAAACTCTAGGACCAGATATGGCGTGTCAGTGCCCGCTGTAAACATATCCTGTTGTTCATTTCAAGGAAAGAAAACTTAAACAAACACATAGATTAATCATGAGGAGATGTTTCAGATTGCAAATTCTGCTCTCCAAGAAATTGAGGAGGAAATGGTATGCATTTGGTGAACTCACAGCTAGGATACCCTTGATGCTGTTTCTGGTGAGTCCATACTCTTCTTGTACGGACAAGAGCACATGTATGAAGTCACTATCTTGCAGGTCTGTGCCACCATCTGCACCTGCCATCTCTCTCGCGTGCTCATCAATCAGAGCATCAAAGATGTTGTCCCACCGACACCTCAGCCTCTCAGCACTCTGGCGTGCTGGCCACGTGAGCACGCCGCCAGCTACCTTTGCCAGACGAGGATAGAAGTTCTCCAGGTTGAATCCCCCCACGACGGCCATGCCGGCATCGATCAGCTCACGGAGCACCTTGTTCCGGCCCTCCACCCTAAATGACCTCCCTGCCACCGCGCGGCAGAGTATGTCGTTGGTGAACGAGCTCAGGAGCTCGCTCATGTCCACAGGCGCGTGTGCGGCGGCCGCGCCACGGATCTTGGCTATCACTGCGCCCACCCTTAGCAGCCGGGGGACGGGAACGTGCCCCACGTTCCCGTTCCGGGAACTTTGTTCCGATTCGCAAAACAGGAACAAGGCGGGACGATGGAACCTGACTCGAAGTCGCTGTGGTCGCTTGGGCTGCCCGGATGCCGAGCCCACGAACGGCGAACCCGTTGTCCCGCTCCCGCAGTGCCGCAGCTTCGATGTCGTCACAGTTCCACAGCAGGAACAGGCTTCTCAGGATGCGGCGATGGGCGGCGGCGGCGGAGTTTTTGAGGAAGTCATACCACGTACCGCGTTCCCGTACCACTTTCCCCACGTTCCGGGAACTTTTGGCTGCTAAGCGCCCACATGAAATCCTCATACAAATGGGCTAGGCACGGTCAATCGATCAGGCAGTGAATCGCCGGGGATCTTGACGATCAGTTACCTCCTCCTCTCAGGCGGCGCGGTAGGACTGCCCCTTCTTCGCGGCGAGCAGGTGCGTGGTGACCAGCTTCTTGGCCTGCCGCCACCACTCGCCGTAGGGCGCGAACCCGACGCCCGACGGCCCGTACGAGAGTATGTTGCCGCCGACAGACCCCGGCCGCGAGGCGAACGACACGTCGTGCATGTGCAGGATCTGCTGCGCGGTGTGCAGGGACGAGACCACCAGCGTCGGGACCGTTCCGAGGCGGAGCAGCATGAGGCCCCCGTCACCCTGCTGCCGCGCGCGAGGTCACGCAGAGAGACGTGTGGGAGCCCACCGGCGATGAGGTGGAGGTGCCCGATGAGCGGCATCGCCGGAGGGGAAGGAGGCATCCTCTTGTGTTCTTGGCTGCTCCTTGCTGCATCACTGAAGTGGCGCAGCAGAATGAAGAGGAGAGGGAAGACCAGCACCAGAACAGCTTTCACCACCGGCAAGCCGTCGGCTAACTGATCAAGAACTGCAGCCAGAGCCATTGCCCCTTCCTTAGCCTACCAAAAGTCTTCGCCGGCAGCAGTGGGTTGGGTTCCCTAGGTAGGTGATAACAAAATATAGTGGCCTACAACTACAAGAAGATGAGACTAAGCAGCTCTAGAGCAGCAGTAGGTAACAAAATACTAAGGTTGTTATTTACATTTTACAGTAACATGATGAAGTTCATAGATCAAAGTCCAACATAAGGAAATAAGCAATCATTCATTCATCAGCACAATAGATTACTGTTTCAAATAAAGAAAGGACCAGAGTGGCATTTAGTCTAAGGTACAATACAAGAATCCATATATACTCCTAGCAGTGATCACATTGTCAAAGCACCAGGGAAAAAAATAGATCCATCCTAGATAGGCTGCAATTTCCATGAGACAATATGACAATTGGATTAGTTTCATGTCACCATCAAAGGATTGCATATGAGTACTCAGATCCATGGAATGAAAAACAGAGGAGGCAGCAGATGCTAAATGGGACACACACAACAATCAGATCAATGTAACGAAATCTCTACACCATGTCACTAGATCATGCCATTACAAACCTTGCAGTTGAGCCTATAGAATAAGTAGGCCATAATATCGAGCTTTTAGATATCAACTTTGGGACCGGCTTTTGGCTTCCGTGAGCTTTTTGGCTTTTGGAAGGTCCAAAAGTTCTCAGGAAGCTGAAACAAACAGAGCCTTAACCAGGAATTACTGATCTACTATGGTATTTCCCTTGTGCATGGATTGGCTTTAAATATGACATGTCAACTCATTAGTTGGATAAGAGATGATGGGTAATTAAAAAATTTAATCCACCCTTTTCATACCTCATAATTCTATTTAAATGGGAAAATTTTGGACCGAACTCATTCAGAATCCTAAAATTCCCTGAGAAAATTTACTCACTCCATTTCAATCTAGATAAAATGGACAGTCCTTGTAGGCAAATGTAATTCACACTTTCCCAATCAAATAACAGCTCACCACTATTTTAGAATATAAGGTGTAAACGAGATAACCTTATGTATTCACATTCACTGCATTGAAAACTTTATAACAAATTCAATTGGATGTACTGAACAACTGCAACATAGCAAGATCTTGATGTACAGTAACTGTATGTTAAGAAAATTTGAAGCAAGGCTTATACCTTATTGCATCCAAACAAGATTTGCATGCTGCAAAAATTGCATGTCTCAACAAAACTTATCAGTATTAGCATCCACTTTTTAGTCTTGTGGTCTGAATCTTTTTCCCCACTTACTAAGGAGCTCTTCAATATTAGCATCCATTCTTGTACCCCTACCTCCCCACACCAACATGTGACCAAGATCACTGATTGATGATCCATCAACCTCATGAACTGCTTTGAAACCCATCCTCGTGTAGAATCTAACGAGCTGACAACAACGAAGAAAGTTTCAAATGTGTTGCTCGAGTCCACCATGGGAAGTATCATACATTCAAAATGTGACATCTTGTGTCGAGATCAGGCACTCCAAAAAGCAAGCATTAATTTTATGAATCTGTAATAATCTACATCTAGTAGTTGCAGCTTCCAATTTTAGATCATTGCATCCCATTAACTAGTAGGCAAAAAAATAAAAAAAGGAAGGTAATAGCAAGAATGATATGGGAATTGACAAGAACAGGGACCAATGTTCAGTTTTCAAGCAAAAACGTGTGAAGTAACTATTAAAATACTGAGACTATTTGTTGTCAATGATTCTACTGCAAATAGTATTTTTCAAACTTCACGCATCCTTGCTTCTTCTCCATTTCAAACATTTGACACAAATTCAGAAAGTAAATTTACGGTCCGCAACACCACACTGCCAATACTGATTGATGTAACGACTGAATTTGATGTCAGAACAAGTGAATTTTGACTACTACACTGCAAACTCTGAAGCTACCAAACCGTAGGAATTTCATGGCATGCCAACATTGCCAAATCAACATACATCAGAAGCACATCCAGGGGATAGAGACTGCGATTATACTATACCTTGTCGTGGTAGAGCGGCGTGTCGTTGATGGCGAGCAGCTCGGCGCGCCTGCAACCGGCGTCGAAGCCGTGCCGCACGGCGACGGCGCCGAGGAACATCCCCAGCCCGAACAGTGGCCGGTCCGGGACGCTCAGCGTGGCGCGCGTCATGCGCATGGAGTCAAGGTGTAGCACGGCGCCGCCAGGCCAAGGGCGGACGCCGCCCTCGGCGCGGCCAAGCTCCACGGTGTCCTCCCCCTCACCGCGGGTGGCCGTGACGCGGAAGAAGGGGCCGGCCGTGCGAAGGCGCACGCGCAGGCCCTGCGCGCGCGACGCCGCCATGATGTCCGCCATGGTCGGGAGGCGCGCGGCGGGGGCGGGGCTCGCTGGGGAGGTCGGTGCGGCCATAGGAGAGAAGTGGAACAGGGAGTGGTGGGGAGAGTGGGCGCCGTCTGCATCTGCACTCTGCAGTCGGGTGGATAATACTGACTTCACATTCACAACAAAAATATGGGATTTGGAAATGTGTATGCTAGATGGTACTGCAGTAAATTCTGGATCTAAGATAAGTTAATCACTGTTTATGGGTGTGTCGATTGCGTGCCAGCAATGCAGTTTGGGTCTGTTTGGGGCCCATAGCCAGGCTCCAACAACCAATAGCTTGTTCGGCGGTTTGTATTCGGCTCGTAAATCTGAGCTTATCAACTAACGAACAATATTTTTCTCTCACACTAAATCAGGCAGCAGTACTTTCAGTCATGGCTTATAAGCTAATCCAGCCGAAACGAACATGCTGCAAAAAAGAGGGTCGTGGCCTGGATTAGTAGAAACGAGTGGGCGAACAATTCCACCAAGCCATGCTAGGCTAAGAGCATCTTCAGTACATCTCCAGTAGTGCTACCCAAATCAGATCTTCTACTTATATGTTTGGAAAGTCACCTATTTTAATACTATCTATTTTTGTTGTTTCCTCCCGCAGCACTACCTAAAATAGGTCATCCAAAACCATCTTCCTAGTAAATGACACGTAGGGCCCACATATCATCATATGTCATGTTCTTTTCGATGTACACGCCGGGAAGGCCCGCACCACCCAGGGCAGGCCGCACCGAGAAGGGCTGCCGGGGAGGCGCTACCGCATCGGGTGGGCGGCCGCTCCGACACTGGGGAGGGGCGCCGCCGGTTGCAGCGCCCACGCCGGCATGCCATTGGTTAGAACATGGGTTACTACATGATCATGTAGATGTTATGTTTAAGACTATGGCCCCATTCGCGTGCCCTTAACCCCGGCTTGATCCGCTTATTTTTTCATCCGGAACAGTGTTTCTCTCTCACAAATTTCTCCAGCATTCCTCCAAACCATTCAAATTCCTTCAGAATTCAGACAAGCGAACAGGCCCTATATACCAATGTATTTTCTTTTATGGTCAATGATCATTCAGCAAATAGTAAAAATCCTTTCATATAATGTGATTTTGATATGTGAGTCACTTGATGATTGGTTCTTGTGGTGCAACTTAACCATAAAATATCATAAAGAGGAGGCGCGGATGACAACTTTCTAAGGATCCTTAGTGTGGATTTAGACTAAAGAGAGTCGGTCAAATGGATGACACTTGGTTTAGCTAGATTGGCGCTCCGGAGTCCGGACCCTCACAGTTCGGAGCCAAGATGCATCCACAATTGCGGCAATGTAGACATTCCCTGCCTATTCGGCATCAGTGACAACAAGTGTTGTTCTTGGCAGGGCCAGTTCAGCCTCACATGCAACGAGACCTTTCACCCTCCAAGACTGTTATACAAGAGCGACATCCAATCCTCAACATCTCATTGGAAGCCACTGAGATGCATGTGTTTAGCCCCGTGTCTAATATCTGCCACAGCTCGTTCAATACAGTCGATTCAGATGTCCCCTCATCACTCGACGTCACCGGCTAGCCGTTCCTATTCTTGAGCACGCGCAACGTCTTCACGGAAACACGAGATGTGAGGGTTTATGACCATTAATCTTTGTCATAATATATGG